TGTGATAGCTGAAAGAAAAACTTTAAGTGAATAAGAAACACCATTGTAACTAATATAATTTGAGATGGGGTAAGACTTACCAAAAGAAAAAAGATGAAATCAGTGAGATATGAGGGGGTTTCTTTGATAGTTGTATGGTAGTAGTAGTATTTTAGATAGGTTGGCGATCTCCTATCACGAGGTCCAATTGACACCAGATGTTCTTCAATAGTAACTAATGCTTAATGATTTTCTTCATTTAATAGCGCATCATGAATCACCCTTATATCTATAGGACTACTATGTTGTATGGATTCTCTCCAGTTATGCTCTCCACTATTTTCAACATCTTCCTCTGATTCCAACATTGAATTTCCTTTATTTATCAAAGTGTGATCTGGAAAAATAGTTGTTGGAGTATCATCTTTAGATAGCTTGTATGGAAACAATTGTTCATAAAATTTAACATCCTTAAAGATTGAAAATTCTCCAATATTTAGATTATAAACTCTCCACCCTTTTTGACCTCGTGGATAGCCAACAAAAATGCATCGAGTAACTCTTTCAACAAACTAATCATTGGGCTTTGTTGGTGTCTTTACATAACGAATACACCCAAATATACTCAAGTGCTCATAATATAGACCTTTACCATACAATAATGATAAGGAGTAACACCTTCATTAACTATGGTAGGAGACCTATTTATAAGATGAACAACAATATGACTTATTCCCCTCAAAAGTGTAGCAACAAATTAGCATGGAAACATAAAGTCCCTAAAACATTTAGAATATGCCTACATTTTCTTTTCACTAGTCCATTTTGCTATGGTGTGCTAAAACATGATGTCTCATGAAGAATTTCTTCCTCATTGAGAAAAGTTTAAACTTTTAAGTTAATAAACTCGTTACCATTATCACTTCGCATAACTTTCACTTTGGTTTAAAATTGTGTTTTAACCATCTTACAAAAGTTAATAAGATGGCTTGTTGTTTCATATTTCTCTTTCATTAAGTAAGCCCATGAAGCTCTCAAATAATCATCTATTATGATTAAAAATTAGTGTGAAACATTGTGTGATTTTGTTTCATATTTCTCCCAAAGGTCATATTGAATCAACTCAAAAATCTCACTAGCTTTATTGATACTCAAAATAAAAAGAATCATACATTCTTTGGAAAGATGGCAAGCATCACAACATTTGAATTTATTTGCATCAAAAGGAAACTTAATCAAACTAAAATGTCTAGACATATTCTGGTTGGTAGGATGACTCATTCTTGCATGCTAAAGTAAACTTTTGTCTTAAGAACATGATGTCGTAATTACTCATTCTTTTGTTGTCTTGTATATGTAAACCCCATCATATGTCTCATCTGATTCAATCTTTTTCTTCTTGGTTAGATCATGTATAATACATTTATTAGCATAATAGGTTATTATGCAATTCATATCATTAGTCAATTTGTAAGTGGAAATAAGGTTGCAACTGAAATGGGGAATAAAGAGGGCATCCAATAGTTTTATATTATTTTATAGGGTCATAATTCCCTTTTCTTGACCAAAACACCATCTCCAGTTGAAACTATGATGTGTAATGATTCCACAAAATTGCACACATTTTCAAGAGGAAAGAAAAGAGTCCTATGATGAGAAACTCCACTTTACAACACCTAATGTGTGTTAAAAATGAACTTATTACTTGACATGTCTTTTTATTTGCTAGATTCATGAAAAGCTAGATTGTTGCCTTCTTGATCTATACTCTTATTTTGATATGCAAGGCGAGCTCCCCCTGTATTTGAAAAACCTTTTCTATTCATCTTGTGCATGTCCTAGTGAGATGGATATCCCACTATCTCAAAGCACCTGGACTTTTCATGGAGAATCTTCCCACAATGATCACACATGGGTCTTGGACCAACTTTGTTCTTGCTCTTGTTGGAATGATAGTTGGAACTAGTTGTATCGTGCTTGTTGGAATAAAAAATCCAAACCAATATTAATCTTTATATCCTTATTTTTCTCAACCAAGATTCATGATTATTTCCTTAAGATATGATTAAAGGTTTTCCTAAGTCAAGGCATGGGATTTGTGTTTAGAATTGATCTTTTTATATGACCATATCGATCATTTTCCAATCCTCCTAGTAAAAGAGGCACACATTGATCTTCTTCTCTTTGGGCTAGCTCATTGGATAAGCCATAAGAACATTCAGAAAGTGGTTGTAACTTTCTCAACTCATCATGAATGATTTTAAATCTTGTGTAATGCTCTACCACTATTATGCCGAATTCTTACTGCATCAGGTACAAATCTTGCCAAAGTTGATGAATTCGAGAAGCATTTATTTGAGCAAATCACTCCTCAAGATCAACTCATACATCCTTGATTGTTGTTGCATGGGAAATACTTCCATGAAGAATAGGATCTATTGAATTAATAATCCAAGTTATCACCATTGAATCTGCTTTATCCCAATCATGGAGTTATGTAAATGATAGGGAAAGTTTCTTGATCGAACCATCAATGAAACCTAGTTTTGTTTTTTCTCGTAGTGCGGTTTTCATTGATCTTGTCAAGTTTCGATAATTATCTTCTTTTTGCGGTGTTACTACAAGAGGGGTTCCTAGGTTGTCTGAAGAATTCAAGAAAAAAGTTGGTGAAACCTTGATATTACCATGCTTATTGTTTTTGGAGACTTTGTCTTCCTTCTGCGAGGTTTCTAGATTACTATCCAATGTCATAATAGAATAGTAAAATTGAAAGTGAAAAAACTAAAAATTATAATTGAATTATTTTCTATAGGACTAATTAACCTCAGTGTGGGAAATGTTACATTTATAGAATTATGGTGTAATCAACTTTTTAACAGAATACACCAAATAACAGAAAAATTATTTAACCCTATCTCGATTACAAAACTCTCTTTATCATTAAAAATAAGATTGAAAAATATTTTCCTTATTATACATTTATTATAATTTTAAAGATTAATTTTTCAATAAATTTTTGTAATTTTCTATCTACTTTATAAAGCACACTAATTTAGAAGGCATGCTCTTATATTATGCTATAATAATTTTATATTTATTATTATCCTTACAAAAATATATCCTAGTTCCAGTTTTCCATTTGTTTTTGGACTTACATTTAGGGCAAATTAAAAAATATACCTTATACAAAATTATTTTAATTTATATATAAAAAAATGTTATCACTTACATAGAGTGACAAAAGGGAGCAAGAGTAATAACCCGTTACGTGCATATAGCACCACTTATGTCTTCCATAATTTAACAATTTAACCCGTTACGTGCGTAACAATCTTTTTTGACCGTGAGTAAAAAAATGTGGTCTAAAGACAAAAATATTGTAGTGTGAGCCAGAAATAGCTTGTTGAAAGAATACTTGTATCTTGAAAAAGATAGTGAAAGACAATTTGGTTGGATTGAGAACTGGATGTATTATCTGTATTTGGGACAAACCAGTATAAAAGGTTTGTGCTCTTTCGTCTGTTACTTTCTAGTACTTTGTCTGTCAAAGTCTTTAGTACTTTGTCTGACAAAGTCTTTAGTACTTCACTGCATTTAAAAAGCACAAGTTTTTGATATACACTATTCAACCCCCTTCTAGTATGTATCTTTTTCTCCAACAATTGTTGTGTTGTGATGACCAACCTAGGACTAGAGCAGAGGTTTTAAAAGTTGCATATCCCATTGTGCGGATATTGTGTTATGGTGCTTTGAGAGCCTAACTTTGTTGAAAATCCTTCTTGGGAAGTTAACCCTTGAAGTGAATAGTTGTGTTGAATCTCCTCTAGGACTTAGTTGATATAATGTATGCACAAGGTCAAGGTACACATGTATAAAGTGACCTTAGTTTAGGGTCAGGTTGAATTATATTGATTACAAGTGACCAACCGAATAAAGTACAAAGTCAGGAACTTGGTTCCTAATGAAGTATTAGAAATATGTAGTATTTAGAGAGTAGTCGGTGAGCTAATCTTATAGGAGACTTAGTTAAGCTAGCGAATGTCATGGTAGGCCCATACCCAATTATTTTACCTTGACAATAGTACTAGACTTCCTTATTTAAATGGTGACATTCGAAAAACCAAGTTGTTGTATTGTGGATTTAGATCCAATTTACTGTTGATCTAGCAAGCCAAAAAGATCACCCTATATTGTTGGTTTGGTAGAGTTAATCCATTTAAGTTGCTCACCCTATTTTATAGGAGATCTCTTAATTGAAATGTGTGATGACACATAATTATTGTATTGTGCATATGATGTGTTGATTTAATTGTGTTGACTTATGATGAAGCATGTTGATGTAATGAAAATTGAGTTGTTATTGTTGTGTTGTTTAAGTTGACCTTGTGTTGTAGTAGATGTAAGTTGCAAAGTTGATAGAGTTGAATGTGTTGAAATGTTGTATTAACAATATCAAGCAAGACACAATCAATGGGATTAAATTGACAGATAAAGAGCAACCAGAATCAACTATTATTAAGGAAACAGATTGCTACAAATCAAAAACAAATAAGCCACTATTAAGGAAATCTGGTGCAACAAATCAATTATAATTAGGATTGTTTTATTTCAAATAATGGAGCATCATTTGCTACCTTATTTAGAAATCAGCCTTTATCACTATTTGAAATATATTTATCCTCTCACCCTCTGTTTTATATAGTGTTCACGTTTCTGTTTTACAAAAGATTAAATTCACCTTCCAATTTTCTTCTTGGTATCAAGAGCCTTTGTGAACACCATGACATCATTGTCGCAACCCGAAAATTTTCTGATCTTGCGACCTATGATTTAAACATCCTTTTGAAAATCTCATCAATTAAGGAATGCCCAGACACCAGACTAATCCTTAATTAATGGTTTTGAAAATAGGTTCATGGAGTCACCACCAATATTTTACTCAAAACATTGGAAAAATAAAAGGCTTTTAAAAGTCCAATAATGGCCTTGATAACCAGAATTGGGTTCGGGGGTCCGGTTTTTCAAAAGGCCATTAAAAACTCTCAAATTTCATATTACACAGGTAAAGCCATATATAAAACAATGAGGAATATGCAATATTTTCATGTTAATGAAGTGTACGTTAACATACGTCAGGGATTTTCCTTTGAAAACTATGGGAGGAGCAACTGCTACTAAGATACAGAATCCTAGATGAAGTTGCAAGCACGAAAAGAAATGATAATAATAAAATTTTGTTCGAAATGTGAAGCAAAACTTGCATGCATAAAATCAAAACCGTTAATTTACCAGGTAAAACAAGAAAAACCATCCAAAATTCAAAGCACTATCTGTCCTGCAAAAACAACAATGGAACAAATTCAAAATCAAGAGAGTAACCACGTTAGAATGATCAAAATATGCATACATATTTTGTTAGATTGGGCAGGATTGAACCGGGAGGAGGGAGAATAGCCAAACCCAATGAAGAGACATATTAGACCATAGGCCAAGTGATATAATACGCACGCTTATTGTTCTGGTGAACCCTTCATGTGCAATATTTGTCAGTATTCTACCACTTTCTTAAAGCCTCAAGGTTGCTCTTTTAAACCCCCATAATGCCCCAGTCTCCCAAGAACAATTTTTTATCTCATACAAGTGGAACTATATAAAAGGAATGTTTTTTTTTTTTTGATCAGCTAAGAGAAATTTGCAATTGTATATTAGTAGGCAAAATTTAAACAGCCAAATGCCAATTAAGTCTGGGAAGTAATTACCTAAAGGCACGATATAATGGGCGATACCACAGGACATATGCTCCAGGAATTCCTGCTATGAAGTAGATAACAGAAAGAAACCATATTTTCACACCTACAAACAAGGACAAGTTCCATATGCATGGAATTTGTTGACATCAGATTTGGATTTTGAACCGTTCAATAACCCAGAAAGACTCCTTCATATCTAAACTGACCTTCTCCCTTAATCCAAGCTGAAGTGACAGCTATAATATTCCATGTGAGGCACAATACCAATCCTGCATAATATCATTTTTCATCATTTACAGTGGACCATATTCCATCATACAACTTGCAGAATATACATAATATATTATAACCATAATCAAATTAAAACAGCATCTTCACCAAGCCAAGAAAAATTTAACAGATAATGCAATCAACATGTCATTGACTAAATAAAATAGGTTAGTTCCAACCAGCTAGGACGTTAGGTCAGTGGTTTAAATCAATCAGACAAAACCAGTTTATCAATATTTTGCTACCTATTCTCATTCATTTCACTACCTATCAAGTCTTCAGTTTTCTCATAGGCCTTTCATTTATATAATTTATGAGGGTGGGACAAAATAATAAAAAAATATTGAAGTTCAGAGAATATAAAAATGGTTCTGTATTGAATTTGAGAAAATGGACAATACAGATGACTATTTCTGGTACATTCAGTATATATGGATCAAAGAACTGCTCCAACTAACAATACCAGCTAGCAAACTAACTCAGACAGTTGTAACTGTCTGACAGAAAAAACAGCCAAGTCCTTGAGCAATAGTATTTTCTCACAAAAAGATTGCTTTGGCTAATTACTAGTACAGGATGTAAAGTATTAGTCATTTACACCAATTAAAATCAATGCTACAATATGCAAGTACCAAACTTTATAACATGACACCTTCGTTAACTTAAAAAAAAAAAAACATTAATCCAACCATTAGGTATAAACTACTCAAAGTAAATCAAGTCTGCAAAATTTTATATAATTTAAAAATTAATTGATACTTGATTGCACCCTTAGGTTAAAACAAAAAACTATATTGATCCAACCATTAGGTTTAAAAACTAATTGATACTTAATTGCACCCTTTTAGATTTAAAAATAAATTATATCAATCCAACCATTAGGTTTAAAAATTAAACACACACACAGAACAAAAACCATCAATAGAGAACAATCAAAGAAGAGACTTCAGATATAATCAACTTAAGAAAGAAATGAAGGAATGAAATAATCAATGTGCATGAGACACCCTCAAGAATTGCTGTCTTAAAAACAATGCAATGATGCAAACCATATTGCAATGGAACAAAAGGTGGGATAACTTACCTAATAATGAAGTAAATGCAACGTATTGCAGTCTTTGAAGATGAATTGGAATTTCATTAGCAATATCATGATGGATAATTGGGAAAAATGGTGGCCAATTCTTCTCCTCAAGAACAATTCCAGCTGTAAAATAATGAAATTACACACATGAAGAATAAAAGCAGAACCAAAGATATTTATTGCCCAAGCAAAAAACAGGAGTTCAAACTTTTCTAAGAGATCAGTTGGCACAAGTAGAATGGGTGGAGTGTTACATGTAATGGAACATCTATAGATTTCTCAAGTAGTAGCACTCTTCCATCAATCAATTGAATGCCAACACAAACAAAAACAGCCAAGGAAACAAGCAAACTTTTTACAAACTTTGTTAGACATCAGAATAAGGAGGACCTGGAAAGTGAGCATTAGAAGGAATAAAACCAATGAGGTCAGTTAAGGCAGTTAGATGCTCAAACAGTAGGCATTTCATTAGTTAATTGGGGAGTTAAATAGGAGAGATCAACTGCAAAGTAGGTAGGCAGACAATATTGAGAGAGAACATCCTAGAACTCAATTGCAAACGGACAACTCTCTTAAAGGAGAATTCAAATTCTCCTTGTTCATTCACTGTTCTAATAATAGAACTCATTTTTTATTCTCTCTACCATCCATTCTTTTATATTCTTGCACCCTATTGAGATTCTTGGATAAACCCTAACAATCTTCAAGTACAAATATAAATAAAATGTAAATTACCTCGTTCAGCAGCTTCTTCTTTCCGTCTGACTTCCTGCATTTAGATACAATAATAGATTAATAGATATAAAAATACAGGTGAACTTCCAGGTATGTGTAGTAAATAGGAATTAGTAGAGAAGCCTTCACACATACAAAGCTAACTGAAAACAAATATTGGCACTCAAATTCTAAAGATAGAACAGAAAACACCATAATTTGTAGAAAATAACAAATAAGAAGATTCATAATTCAAGGATCAACACATCATTTAATCACAACAATTTCAGATAGTTTCATAATGTCCGAACTATAAAAATTAATATAGCAACAACAAAGAATCAATTATTCATTTAAAAAAGGTTAGAAATAAATTAAATAAAATTTTGGAACATTTAACCAGATGGATGGTTGAGTCAATAACTCAATATATAGTTTACACATTTACCACTTGTCTAGACTAGAAATACTTTTTCCATTAATTTACAGATAGTAACTCTGTCATAAAATATATATATTCCACTGTCCATACTAGCTTTTCAGGATAAAATAATTCTGATGCAAGGGTATCAAGATTATATTATGGACAATAGAGGGGGAAGAGCAGAAAAGAGAAAAGAAATCTCAAGACAACAAAAAACAGAATTGTTCCAGGTTCCGACCTCTGTAGTCTGTAGGTATCAACTATGGAAACACTCTCAAGTCTGAACCAAAAAGAGGTTATCAAATCGCATTACATACCTGTTCCCTTCTTCTCAATTCAGCCTCCTTGGCTTGGAGTTCCTTTTCCTTCTTTTTCAAGTCCTAATGTTAAAACATATCATAATTAGAAAAGCCACAACCAATTTTCACAACAATACATCATGTAATGAATTTACATATGAAAAAAAAAAAAAAAAGGAGTTTGGGGATTTCAACAACCTAAACTTATATTATACATACCGTTGATGGATCAAGAGGTATATCAACAGTTGCACCAAAGCCATAGTTATAATCAACAGGTTCAGGATTAAGAGGTGATAGCCTTGAATTTGTGGCAGGGGCAACACTTCCAGGGTTCTGAAAATTTTAAAACATAAGGATGCATAAGGTTTACACAAGAATTTGCGAACTTTTTATTGGGTTTTTCACCTAGGGGAAAGATATGATTAAATGGTTTCCTTTGGAACATTAAGAATTATTTTCATTCTATCAAGATTTTTTTGGTGACTAATTATTTTGAGAAGTGAGCCAGATTCATTTGACATGGATTTTACTTCATAAAAAATAAAGTTGGTCAAGGACCTAGACATTATATTTCAGTGAACACAAAGATTAAAGCAAAAAAATAGTTTCACTCCTACTTTGCAAACAACATTACCACTACAAGTTAGCCCAGTTAAGTTGAACAAACAAGATTGTTCACTAATGCACTTATGGTCGTCACCATTAAAAGAAATGCATGCAAAATATTATGATTTACTAATGCTTAATTAACAAACTCACTGTAGTGTAAAATGCACCCCCGCTAAAATTTGATTGGCTTGATGTTTTTCCCCTCAAAGCTAGTTCCTGCAAGTGTGTACAAAATTTGAAGGATCATGCAAGAGCATTTAAGGTAAATACTTGGAGTTCAACCCCCCTCCTTTGCCCCTTCTCCATCTGCCAAAACAATGTTGAATTCCCTCTCCCCCAAACCCCTCTCCTCAAAACCCATTCCCATTCCCTCCCTTTCTATCACCCTCTTCCTATTTGACCTAAATCCTAATGGTGGTGTCCTCCATGCCATTTGCAAGGAGCGAATTGCCCTTCATGCCAAGGCAAAGCAACTTCCATGCAAGTACCTCTACCATGGCTCCACCTCCACGTAATGTGAAAAGGAAGAAGAGGGAAAATAGGACTGTTAGGAGGATAAAGGAATCCATACCTGAATAATGAAGATTAGGAGTGATGGTGATGAATGCAAGATTAAGAGAATGATTGTTGGTGATGAACCACGAGATTGAGAGAGAATGATGGTGAGATGAATGCGAGATTGAGAGAGAACGATGATGTATATTTGCGCACAAATTTTTTTTACCTCTCCTGCGGCCTCGTTTAAGTCATGCGTAAATATATATTTTTTAATTTTTTAAGCCACAAGCAAGTAGTGTGGCCTTAGACAACCACAATTTTACAAATGTTGCATATGTAAATAAATCACGAATCATATTTGCCACATATATTTAATCACAATCTATTAAATCTATGATTTAAAATTCATGGTCTATTTTATATACCCAGCTTTAAAAATGTGGTCTAAAGATAATAGCTCACAGTTATGGTCTTTGAAAAAAAATATTGTGGCGTATTTATTGATGCAACCATGTTTTTTTGACCGTGAGTAAAAAAATGTGGTCTAAAGACAAAAATATTGTAGTGTGAGCCAGAAATAGCTTGTTGAAAGAATACTTGTATCTTGAAAAAGATAGTGAAAGACAATTTGGTTGGATTGAGAACTGGATGTATTATCTGTATTTGGGACAAACCAGTATAAAAGGTTTGTGCTCTTTCGTCTGTTACTTTCTAGTACTTTGTCTGTCAAAGTCTTTAGTACTTTGTCTGACAAAGTCTTTAGTACTTCACTGCATTTAAAAAGCACAAGTTTTTGATATACACTATTCAACCCCCTTCTAGTATGTATCTTTTTCTCCAACAATTGTTGTGTTGTGATGACCAACCTAGGACTAGAGCATTCATGGTCTATTTTATATACCCAGCTTTAAAAATGTGGTCTAAAGATAATAGCTCACAGTTATGGTCTTTGAAAAAAAATATTGTGGCGTATTTATTGATGCAACCATGTTTTTTTGACCGTGAGTAAAAAAATGTGGTCTAAAGACAAAAATATTGTAGTGTGAGCCAGAAATAGCTTGTTGAAAGAATACTTGTATCTTGAAAAAGATAGTGAAAGACAATTTGGTTGGATTGAGAACTGGATGTATTATCTGTATTTGGGACAAACCAGTATAAAAGGTTTGTGCTCTTTCGTCTGTTACTTTCTAGTACTTTGTCTGTCAAAGTCTTTAGTACTTTGTCTGACAAAGTCTTTAGTACTTCACTGCATTTAAAAAGCACAAGTTTTTGATATACACTATTCAACCCCCTTCTAGTATGTATCTTTTTCTCCAACAATTGTTGTGTTGTGATGACCAACCTAGGACTAGAGCAACCGTAGATTGAAGAAAGCATTCAATAGATGTCAGGAGGATAAAATTTCCTCGACAGTGCGCAATGGTGAAGAAGTATATCAGCAGGTGAAGAACATTAATATTGTGTTCGGAAAGATGCAAAAGAAGTCAACTGGGAGAAATATCTGGAAGAAACGATCAATATTCTTTAATCTTCCTTATTGGTGCAGGCTAGGTGTTAGACATTGCATAGATGTGATGCATGTTTGTATCTTTTTCTCCAACAATTGTTGTGTTGTGATGACCAACCTAGGACTAGAGCAGAGGTTTTAAAAGTTGCATATCCCATTGTGCGGATATTGTGTTATGGTGCTTTGAGAGCCTAACTTTGTTGAAAATCCTTCTTGGGAAGTTAACCCTTGAAGTGAATAGTTGTGTTGAATCTCCTCTAGGACTTAGTTGATATAATGTATGCACAAGGTCAAGGTACACATGTATAAAGTGACCTTAGTTTAGGGTCAGGTTGAATTATATTGATTACAAGTGACCAACCGAATAAAGTACAAAGTCAGGAACTTGGTTCCTAATGAAGTATTAGAAATATGTAGTATTTAGAGAGTAGTCGGTGAGCTAATCTTATAGGAGACTTAGTTAAGCTAGCGAATGTCATGGTAGGCCCATACCCAATTATTTTACCTTGACAATAGTACTAGACTTCCTTATTTAAATGGTGACATTCGAAAAACCAAGTTGTTGTATTGTGGATTTAGATCCAATTTACTGTTGATCTAGCAAGCCAAAAAGATCACCCTATATTGTTGGTTTGGTAGAGTTAATCCATTTAAGTTGCTCACCCTATTTTATAGGAGATCTCTTAATTGAAATGTGTGATGACACATAATTATTGTATTGTGCATATGATGTGTTGATTTAATTGTGTTGACTTATGATGAAGCATGTTGATGTAATGAAAATTGAGTTGTTATTGTTGTGTTGTTTAAGTTGACCTTGTGTTGTAGTAGATGTAAGTTGCAAAGTTGATAGAGTTGAATGTGTTGAAATGTTGTATTAACAATATCAAGCAAGACACAATCAATGGGATTAAATTGACAGATAAAGAGCAACCAGAATCAACTATTATTAAGGAAACAGATTGCTACAAATCAAAAACAAATAGATTACAAGTGACCAACCGAATAAAGTACAAAGTCAGGAACTTGGTTCCTAATGAAGTATTAGAAATATGTAGTATTTAGAGAGTAGTCGGTGAGCTAATCTTATAGGAGACTTAGTTAAGCTAGCGAATGTCATGGTAGGCCCATACCCAATTATTTTACCTTGACAATAGTACTAGACTTCCTTATTTAAATGGTGACATTCGAAAAACCAAGTTGTTGTATTGTGGATTTAGATCCAATTTACTGTTGATCTAGCAAGCCAAAAAGATCACCCTATATTGTTGGTTTGGTAGAGTTAATCCATTTAAGTTGCTCACCCTATTTTATAGGAGATCTCTTAATTGAAATGTGTGATGACACATAATTATTGTATTGTGCATATGATGTGTTGATTTAATTGTGTTGACTTATGATGAAGCATGTTGATGTAATGAAAATTGAGTTGTTATTGTTGTGTTGTTTAAGTTGACCTTGTGTTGTAGTAGATGTAAGTTGCAAAGTTGATAGAGTTGAATGTGTTGAAATGTTGTATTAACAATATCAAGCAAGACACAATCAATGGGATTAAATTGACAGATAAAGAGCAACCAGAATCAACTATTATTAAGGAAACAGATTGCTACAAATCAAAAACAAATAAGCCATATATATGCAGGTTTTGGGTATATCAAAAATCAACAAAAAATTAAAAAAAAATGCCAGAATTTACGTCGGACTACACCATAGTTGATGTAAATTTACGTCGGCTAGTGCTAGGCCCGATGTAAATTTACGTCGGATTTGGTGTGTCCGACGTAAATTCTGGCATGTATTTTCTTTAATTTTAAACCATATTTTACGTCGGTCCTAAGTAATGTCCGACGTAAATTTACGTCGTCTGTCACAGGCGACGTAAATTTACGTCTCCTACATTAACGTTGGAGCCTTTTCTGACGTAAAATCCTTAAAATAGCCGACGTTAAAGATTTAAAATATTTCAATTTAATGTTCAAAATATTTTTACTTACTTTTTAAATTAAAAATATTATAAATATATAATGATAAAATAATTTTTAAGATCTTTCTTTCTCTTTGTAAATCAAATAAGAAAAGAGATATATCACTTTTTCTTCTTATTAAAATCATTCCTCTCATGTCATCTTTACCAAACACATGATTTTTACTAAAATATTCTTTCCTCAATTAAAATTTTTCATTTTTTTCTCCTCTCCTTTGAATCAAATATTCCTAAAAGAATTATTCGCATCTAAGTTTTATTCTTTAATGAAGTCTAATATGTATTTTAAAATTTATATTTGGGTCTAACTTAACCTTAAAACTAGCTAGTTCATAAGGTGATAATTGTTCTCCAATTACTTACATACATTATTTTAACGTTTTAAATAAACTTTATAGATTGAATTTGCATAATTAAACATTTGCATATATATGTAACGACCCGATAATGAGAATTTAATTATAAACCCAACAATTATATTTTAAGATTAATTAATTTTGATATAATTTCAAAATTTAGATATATATAAACTTAACTCAAACTAAAACATTAAATAAAGATTATTTGTTAATTATATACATATTATTTTAAGAGAAAAAAAGTTATATATTAATGATATAAAATAATTTTATATTTATCCAATCATAAATTAACATGTATAAATAAATTTGTTAACTATTACAATAATTACTTTTAAAATTATCTTAATTAAAATGTTTGATACATTCACAAATATAAACATTTCTGCACTAACGATGTATAACGATCGATTAAACCTTATTTTGATCATGAGGTCTCGATCAATACCAGTCAAATCAAGTAACTGATATTAAACACTATACCTTTACATAAGTAACTGATATTAAACATTATACTCTTACACAGTAACCATAGAGACCAAAGCACCAAATGGCACCCAAATTGCCAACCATTTTTTTTTTTATAACTTTTTTCCCTCTAATAATATCATAGTAGAGAAGAAAGATGCCAAAGCTATTAGAAGGAAGGACAAGAGAAAAATCAATCCATGCATGCATAAAAAGTCCAAACCTGGCATGAGTATTAGCATGTGAAGAATATGTGTCTACCTTTTCCTTTTTTATATTTTCTTTCCTGTGTTTTCCAATGATTCAATACTGTCTTGTAATGAGTTTCAAGGAACATATATAAAAAGAACAAAAGGTAGAAATTATACGAAGCATTATTTTATAACACCACGCCTAAAAAATAGTGAGAATGAATCATTTATGCTAGCTTAAATGTTAAGGATATTTATTTTCTTCATCACACAATAAATATTAGATACGATGACATACAAAATGTCATTATAAATATATATGAAGGTAAAAATTTATTTGACATATATATCGGATCGTAGCTGACTAGGCCGAATACCTGAACACTCGACTGGACCGACCCAAAACGACCCCGCCGAGAATGCCGA